TTCAATAAAAAGACTTAGGGCCAGGTGTGGTGGCACACACCTTTACCCAGCACTTGGGAGGGAAAGACAGATCTCTGTGAGACTGAGGTCAACCTGGTCTACATAGAGTTCCAGGCGAGCTGGGATTACAGGGAGACCCTATCTCAAAAAAAAAAAAAAGTTAGGCTGTTAAGACAGCAAGGCACTCGCATGCAGGCCCGATGATCTGAGACTATCTTTCAAAGTGAAGGGAGGAAACTACTCCCAAGAGTTGTCCTCTGACTCTGCACACACACTGTATCACACACATGCCTGCACACACACAGTAATAAATAAATAATTTAAAAGTCCACTACTGTTTATTGGAAAGTGAATGAGGAAACTGCATTTACTTGTTCAATAAAGCAAAAACGCAGACGGTGGAAATGATGAGAAGGAACACGTAGGGGCTTGGGGAAATGGCCATGGTACACTGTGTATGAAAAAGCCACACACACACCCCCGCCCCGACAGGAAGACTCCACCCACCTTCCACTGTTCTGCTCTTTTACGTTTCCTAGAGCACATATGCCTTTCTTTAAAGCAACTCTGCTTCACAGATTATTATTTTTAAGAGTTTGCAGTTAGTGGTGGGCACCTGGCATAATGGAGCTACAGATACTCCAAAAAAGAACTCAAGGGAGTCCTGATGCTCAGCCAGCCCAGGTCACCTTCCACCTTGCCAGATGCTCCAATAAACACCACACCCAGCAACACCAGGAATGTGCCAGCCAAGCCATGAGTACCAGGTGAGTCATCACCAGGCAAGAAAAGGCTGGCAGGTGGGCCAAACCCTTCCCTAGAGGCCACCACAGAAGTCAGGGGTGGGAGGGATGAGGGAATCCCACAGGGCCAGAATGGGGAGGGGAGAGGCAGTCTTTTAGGGGCATCTGGATAGAGTCACTGGGAATGACTTTTGAAGATACTCTCGGTAGAGGCATAGTGAGCCAGGGCCTCTTAGAACTCCTGTGATTGACTTCTGTTGAGCTGCTTACTAGCTGTGTCTTTGGCTGATATATTTAGCTCTAGGCCTATCTCTTTACATGTGGATGGGAATGAGAAACCCAGCATCCCAAATTGGTTGTAAGAAAGACATAACATCCCGTATATACGGGCCCCTGGAAGAACCAGGCAACAACTCGGCAACCATTGCCACTTAGACATTTTGATACATTTTCCAGAAAACCAGCAAACGGAATTACATCAAATGGGACACAGTACAATGTTAAACTCTAATACAAACACACAATTACCAAGGGATAAAACAGAAGAGATAAAGCTTAACGTTCAGAGATTTCTATTCCCCATTCTCATTTCTCCTGCATTGGTTGTGAGATCCAGAAATGCAGACTGAAGCTCTTTTTCTACAGAAAGAATCACTTCCTACATATGTACATGCCATGTCCAAGGCTACAAGTCAGGGCAGTGGTCTCCAGATCCTCTTTCTGTGACCCATCCCTGCTATACATCCACGGCAAGCCCCAAGGACCAATGTGGAACACCCACTTGCTTCCTGAGTCCACAGACACCTCGTCTCTTTTCCACACCTTCCTCAGGGTTCCCACACTGACTCTGGGTCCTCACAGCCAGGACTCCCACAGCCTGTCCACAGAGAAGTCTGTTCTCTGTCACCAGGATCCCCACAGGAAGAGCGTGGTCCCCCTGTTCCTCCTTGCCACTTCTCATCAAGCCTGCTTTTAGCCCTTCTTCCCTCTTTACTTTCCGCCATCATCCATCCTTCATAGCCTGGGAATATGCCAACTGAATAAACAGAATAAAAATAGTCTATCTTGTTGAGCACAGAAAACACAATTTGAAGTTATAAAATCTGGGCTCAGGTCTCTGCAGGGTCACATTGGACCAAGCTCATTGGTACAGCTGCTCAGCTGATCTGTCTCAAGCTCACTGCTGACAGCATGAACAGGCAATCTCATGGCACGACTGTAAAGTGATGCCACCAACAGAAGATGTGTGATCAGTGACAACTGATTACAAACTGGGAGGAAGGCTGGGAGGCTCTAAATATGGACATTGACCCCCAACTCCAACCCCTGACTGAGGCCTGGAGCTCATACACCCCCAGGCCCATGGTACACACTGAGATCTTACCTGCTTTCCTGCTCCTATCACATAAACTCCCCCGAGGATGAAGCCTTCACCTTCCAAGTTTCCAGAGAAGCCGCCATTCCAGGCTCGGAAGGAGTTGTACCACACACCCAGTCGGATTAAGCCCATGAACATCATCTTCCGCCTCTGTGGACCATAGAACCTTTTCTGTGGAGCAAGGAAGACCCCATGTGAGCAGTCTGTATATCTTTCTTCCCCTAGGGAAGGAAGCCAAAGCCAAAGCCCCAGAGCTGACACTCATGTCCTCTCTCCAAACCAATATACATTACCCTACTCAGGGTCATACTCAACTGCCTGGGGAAACAGAAGTCAGGTCTGACTTCTTTAGAAAAAAGAAGAAGGAGGAGGAGAAGGAGAAGAAGAAAAAGGAGAGAAGGAGGGAGGGAGGGAGGGAGGAAGAACTTTACATTTGTTTTATTTTTGCAATGTAGAGACTGAACCCAGCACCTTGCTCATGTGAGGCAAGTGCTTTACCACTGGGGTTGCCTTCTGGCCTCAAGGCTGGCCAACCCTAGGGAAATGACTCTTCTCACTGCCCTTACATCTCCAGCAGTACAAACGTTTGTGCTAAGGAATGGGGATTTTAGCTGTTTCCCACCTTCCTGGGTCACAATGCAGGGAAGGTTTACTAATAACGAGATAGCTTTCAGGGGTCTGCCTGTGCTATGCCCAGAGAGCTAGGGAACCCTGTAATTTGAGGGAAGCTGAAGGGAAGGCCAACCTTCAGCTCCAGGCCAGACCCATCTTGGGTCAGTGAACTCTCCCAACCAAGGCCGTCTCCACCAGCCTGCCCCCCAGCCCAACTCCCAGCAGCACACCTTTTCATCCAGGAAGATTTCCCCTTTGAAATAAGGCTGGAAGTCCTTTACTTCTGTCCCAACCTGCTCCTTCACCACGGCATAAAGAGGGACCCCCAGTTCGTCCAACTTGGGCTTCAAGGAAGACAGGTCTGCTGCCTCCTGTGAAAGACAGGAAGGTTCAGAGGAATAAACTTATGGAGAGCTACAGTCAAAAACCCACGGGGGCCCAGAACATGGCCAGCACAGAGTGGAAGAACAGAGGTGACGAAACACCAGAAACAAGTCAGGCCTGCACAGCACAGCATGTGCCTGTCCCAGGTAGACACTGGGCTTCTTTTTAAAAAAAATTTTTTTTAATTAATTTACTTTATGTGTATGAGTGTTCTGCCTGCATATATGTGAGTGCACCTGTGTTTTACAATGCTTTCAGAGAACAGAATAAGATCCCCTGGAACTAGAGATACTGATGGTTGCTAGCTGCCATGTGGGTCCTGGGAACTGAACCCAGGTCATCTGCAAGAGCAGCCAGTGCTCTTAATTGCTGAGCCATCCCTCTAGCCTCCCAAGGAGCTTCTTCAATCCAGGTTTCTTGTCTTCTCGCAGTGGGAAAGAGATGCAGGCCCAGGGAGCTGCCATAACTGAGGCTGCTCCCAAACATGCCTGACACTCTCAGCCAGGGCACTGCTCTCCTATCTCAATGGCCAACCTCACAAGGTATCCTTGTTCTAGAAAGATCTCTTGGGCTTGTCTGGCCTGGAATGAAGCCCTAGTTCTCACGGAAGCTTTCCATCTTTTGCTTGTGGCTTTTTTGTGCTAAGTCTTCCTGCTATCTCTGAGCACTGCCACTTGGATTCCCAAGCATGTCTCACAGTCAGAAACTACATCCATCTCCTGGATACCTCAGTGCCTAGAATGCGGCTGGATATGCAGATGGCACTTAACACCTGATGGAAAGATTTGAAGATGGACAACAGCAGAATGCGGCTGAGCTGAGCAGCACAGACATCTTCGATCCTCACAGCCATGTTCTGAACAAATAAACAATACCACGTGAATGATGGCAAAGTTTCATCTTAAAGAACAACTTCCCTTTTCACATTAGAGTTAGGTTGAAAGAATCAGCAAGAAGTTCTTTAAAAGTTTCTTTTGATTTATTTCTTTTTATGTGTATGAATTTATTGTCTGCATGTATATAACTGCACCCATGTCACACAGAGCCCATGGAGACAAGAAGTGGGTGTCAGACTCCCTGGAACTGGAGTTACAGATGGTTTTAGCCACCATGTGGGTGCTGGGAATCAAACCTGGGTCCTCTGAAAAAGCAGCCAAGTGCTCTTAACTGCTGAGCCATCTCGCCAGTCCCAAGAAGTTCTTGTTTTAAAAAATGTTATTTATTATTTTTATTTTATGTGTATGACTGTATTGCTTGCATGCACGTAAGTTTACCCATGTCATGCAATGCCTGAGGAGGTCATAAGAGGGCATCGGATTCCCCTGGAACTGGAGTTATAGACAGTTATTAGCCACCATGTGGGTGCTGGGAATCGAACCCGCATCCTCCACAAGAGCAGCTGGTGCCCTTAACTGCTGAGCCATTTCTCCAACCCCATCAAGAAGTTCTTTTATATGCAGCCTGCTTACTTCTGATACAAACACACTACTACACACTACTACCTGATGCCAACTATATTTATTTTCTAGAACAAGGAAAAAAAAAAAGTGGGGCTGGAGAGATGGCTCAGCAGTTAAGAGCATGGACTGCTCTTGCAGAGGACCTGGGTTCGGTTCCCAGCACCCACATGGAGGCTAACTACCATCTGTAACTCCAGTTCCAGGAGATCTGACGCCCCCTTCTGGCCTCCACGGGCATTGCATGACATGTGTGCACTTACATACATACATGCAAGCAAAACACTCATACAAATATAAATAAATAAAAAGTAAAAGAAAAGGAAGTTAGGTAATTGACTATACTACATTAACGAAGAGTGCCAGTGCATGGAAAATTTTGCCATAGGACAGACAGAAAGAACTCCAGTATCTGATGTGGTCCAAGACCACCTGGCGAAAATGAAGTTTTTCCTGGCATCTTTCCTCTGCGTATGTCACTGTGCAAAGCCATTGGGAGGAGACTGAGTCATATTACTCTTGCTCAGGCTTCTCTTAAGTTACTCAGACTGCCATCCACCCACTGTTCTGGACACTGTAAGTTTCCACAAAATGCTAAGCGGCACACAGGAGAACAGACTGCAATTAGCAAGGGCTGTTGCTCTTGGAACCCTCTCAGTTTCATTGGTTTCAACAGATCAAGTCAAAACACCTTCCCTGCTGGTGTCTGGAGGCCTCACTGATTTGGAATCAAAAGCCTCGGTTTAAACTCCGCATCCAATGATAGAGACAATAATGAATCCAGAAAGATGACCAAGTCTGAATGCCTGAGACCTACCCTATGTTGTTACATGGCCAGGGGAAACTGAGATGAAGATGAAATTTAGCCTGCCTACCACCTGACCTTAAAGTAAGAAGATCTAGTGTTATCTGGGTGGGTCCAATGTCATCCACAGGGTCTTAAACATGGAAGAGGGAGGCAGAAAGTCATTATCATAGGGATGCAGTGTGACAAGGACTTGACCAGCAATTACTGACTTTAAAAACAGAGGGAGAAGTCACAAGCTAAAGAACACTAGTGTGGCTTCCAGAAGCCACACAAGGTAGAGAAATGGATTTCCCACTATAGCTTCCATGGGGAATGCAAGCAGAGTCCTTGGGGAATTCTGACCTCCAACTCTGTGCAATAATATGCTGTTAAAGTCACTGAATTGGTGGCACTTTGTTCCAGCAGCAATAAAAAAATGTAAATACCCACAGGCAGTTTGGTTTTGTTGCAACTTCTACACCACTGTCTCCTCCGTAAAATGAGAATAGTATTGCTAACAACAAGGGTGTATTGCTAAGAGAATCCTGAGAAGTCAGTAAGACAGCATGCACAGAAGTGTCCTGCGCAGGTTGGGCATGGAGCTCATTTGGTAGTATGCTTGCCTGGCATATATGAAGCCCTGGGTTCAATCCCCAGCATCACATAAAACTGGACATGGTGGTACATGACTATAATCCCAGCACTCAGGAGGTGGAGATGGGAGATATGAAGTTCAAGCCTACAAAGTATATTAGAGGCCAGCCTAGGCTACCTGACCCCTATCTTTCAAAAAAAAGTGCCTTGAAGATAAGGTATTACAAGATGTCACGTGCACTCAGCAACTCAACACACACACACACACACACACACACACACACACACACGCACAGGAGTAACGAGTAACTATCAGGGCTAGGCCAAGTAGCTAGAGGACTGAAGGTGATAATCCTGTTAGAGCTACATCTGTTCCTTAAGAAGCCAAGTGGACTCAAGGGAGAACGCCAGTCCATTTTCTCCCAGGCAGAGCAGTGATCTCTGAACCTGGGGCTTCTGCTATCACCTGGGCAGAACAATTCTGGCCCTCTGTTTATATATCTACAGCATGACAAGACTGGACCCAGGCTAAAGCAAAGTTCCTTGTCACACTATCATTTTGTGACTCAACGGTCGCAGCTCTTGTCAACCACTCATGTGTGTTCTCCATTACTGGAATGACTTCACGTTGAGGGGTCAACCTGGAACCAGCCTGTGAGCCCCAACTCTCCTCCAGCATGCAAATGCACCCATACTATCGTTATGACTTAGGCCCTGCTGAACTACATGCTGTGAGAGCACACAGAGGGGTGGTAGAGCTGCTGTAATTTAGAGAGTGGAAATGGGCTCCAGTAGGTCCCCAGGGGAGGCACATGGGCAGAATGGCTAAAGTACGGCCTTGAGGAGCTTTCCCGAGGGCCGCAGCTTCACCAGACAGGAGCTGATCGTGATGCATCCACAGCTCTCCAGCTGAGCAGTTGGAACCCAGAACTGGCCCCTGTTGCCACTCTGGATTAAATAGGATGGTAATATTGAACATGACTGCTACAACGCTGGGCAAAGAGGTACAGAAGTCAAGTGTGTTACTAACCCCACTAGGAGATGGGGAGTTGTTAGAAACAGGACCTATATCAAAACAAATAAACAGAGCAAATAGCAGAGAGTGGCCAGAGCTGACAGAAGGCCCAAGCATACCCACAGGCCTTTGGTCCTGGCTAGAAACACTCCAGGCCCCACCCATTGAGATCCTTTTCTTCCAAAATACTTAAAGGCACTCACCGCTCGACAGAGGAAGCAGCCCGGCCTCCGCACAGCCATAACCACAGCCCCATTCTTTTCCCATAGCTCTTTTGCTTTGAAAGTCCTTGGTTCTAAGGGAGAAGAAATGGAAAGTTACTCTCTCCTTGTAGGCCAGCCCAATCCTTCTCCAATCCCTAGGATGCTCCTGCACTACACTGAGCCAAGCCAAGGTCAGAACCAAGCCTAGGAAGGAACCAGGATAAGCACTCCACACCTGGGAGAAGGCAAACATGGACAGGGAAGACCCCTCTCACCCAGGAAAGCTAACAAGGCCTAAGGACCTTACCAAATACTCCAAAGGCCCCTCCCCGACAAGAATCTACTTTCAACATGAATATTCCAAATTGCAACAATTTCTAGCAAACTAGCAACTCCATTTATGGCTGGCATTGTCCGACACTGTAATAATCTGATAGAGCCCAAACTAAACCTTGTATTTTGTCAAAAAAAAAAAGTACTCTTAAAAGCATATTCAAACTGGGCATGGTGGTGCATAACTTTAACCCCAGCACTCAGGAGGCAGAGGCAGGCAGATCTCTGTGAGATTGAGGCAGCCCGGTCTACATAGCGAGTTCCAGGCAACTAGAACCACAGGAAGACCCTGTCTCAAAAACAAAACCAAACAAAAAAGCATATTCAAAGGAAGTAAATAAACAATTTAAAAATTATCTTAAATATCTAATGTAATACTATGAGTAGAACAGGGTGGACAATGTTCAGCAAGGAAAGGTTTGGGAGAGTCAGTGACGGCTCAGTGTGTATGAACCTTTATTATTTTAGTTTCCCCCAGTGTATCCCACCATGTACTATGGGATACACTGTGAATGAAAAAAGAAGAGGAAGAGAGAGGTCATGGTTACAATACTATTCTTAAGCTCTGGACTGAACAAAGCTTGGCAGGTCTCTCTCTGCACCTTACCATGTGACCTATCACAAATCTGCATGACCACATTCCTGCCTTCCTTGAGCACTGTCCTCACCTACTAAGCCTATGATGATGGCTTCCTCTGGGATACAAGCCTGGGGACCACTCACTCAGTGAGCCCCTGCTATTTACCAAGAAACTCCCACCACAGATGGGCACTCTACACCTCAGCTCTGTGTGGAGTGCACATAGCAAGGGGTAGAGCTATCACAACCATGTGAGGGTCACAGCTGTCTAATATGGACTCCAGGCAGGCCAGAGGGGAGGACACACAAGTGGGTGTGTTCTAAAGTACAGCCTTGAGGAGCTTCCAGAGTGCTGCAGATTATCACAGACAGGGCTACCCATACAGCATCAGCAGCTCTACTGGCCCCTCATTTCAATATGCAAATCCTGACTCTGCACCTGGCCCTGTGCTGCGCATCAGGAACACAGAATTGGATAAACAGTGTTATTCAGACTAATTTAACTCAGGGACACCTGTTTTTATTTATTTATTTATTTATTTATTTATTTATTTATTTATTTATTTAGACAATCCCCCAAAATTCCTTAGAACAGCCTTGGGAAAGGCTAGTTCATTAAGTGATAATATAATATTACTAAATATCATGGAGCAATTTATCATGACAAAGTCAATAATAATGAAAATGATTTTGATAAGAAAAAGATTAACAGAAATGAATGCCAGGACCACATCTCTATAACAATATGTATACATGGAAAGGAATATACCAAAATAAAAATGACTGTGTTAGGGTAATACAACTATTGGTAATTTAAAAATTGTTATTAGAGTTTGCCTAATGTTATTTCAAGAAAATGGAGCAATTTCAGGAGGGGAAAAAAGATCAGTTACACGTGCATCCTAACACCTTGGAAAAGTACTGAATCTGGCAGCCCATGCTTACCTTTCTCCAGTGTTTTCAGGTCTATATCCTCCAGATACTCCAGTGCTGCTTTCTGGGGCTTGGACAGAAATACGTCTGTGTTGGCCAGAAGCAGGGCCAGGGCAGCGGCCCCTAGGGCTCCAGCACCAATGGACCACATACCCATGGTGAAGAAACTTGGGTCCTGGAGGAAAGACATGTCTGGAGATTGAGAGGAAGGAAAAGGTTACTGTTCCCACAGGACAGCTGGAATCTGACCTCCTGCCCAAGGTTCTGCTGAGCAGCCAGCCAGAGGGCGGGGGGAGGACCGCCTGCAGTGGTAGAGGCAAGATTAGTCAGAGCTGCTCAGCTGCCTGCCTGAGCTCTGTTAGAGCTTGGAGAAAGCAGGCACACCAGGTTTGTGCCCCAAGGAGCTCACTAGAAAGTCGAGAGTGATGAGAGGAAATCGATGGTTTTCTAGAGGCTTCTCTTAGAGCTCTGCCACTCTGTGCCACCTGCCGTTAAGCACGGGGGGGGGGTGTGGGGGGATGATGGGGAACTACAGGACACACATATCCCTCTCCTCACCAATGTAAGTGGCCTAGCTATCACCTCCCTGAATGGTAATAGCTTTCTCACCTGTGATCACAAGATACTTGTTTTGTTACCCAATCTGTCTTCCTCTTAGTTTAAGAATCCCCCAGAAACAAGGACTGCATTCTATTCATCAAAGCCCCAGCAGGGCGTCACTAAGGGCCTCACTCAGGGGAGACAGGCAATCTCAGTCAATTTCTCCCAGCTGAGAATAGCTTTTTACTCATTATAGAAATGAAATAGACTCCTGTTAAAAACAAAACAAAAAACAATTTCAACAGTAGCAATACATTAAACCACAGCTGACGAGAAAACAAACACTCTTCGACGCCTACCACACTAGTTAAACACCAGCATCTAAAAGGAGATTTTCCTCCCATAAACAGAACGGCATTGATGTCTGCTGAATAAATGGGGACTGAATCTGGACAGAAGGACCAAAGCACTATGGTGTCTGATTCAGAGGAGGCTGGGTCAAAGGTGTCTGTAGGGACGCTGTAATTGAAATGAACTTCCAAACAGGTCCTGTCTGAACCCAGTCTTGTTCCCAGCTAGAGCCTGGTCACCTCACTAATAAAGCTCCCTCCAGCTGGGAATCCTTGGGCCTCTGGGTAGGAAATCCAGAGGTAGTTCACCCCTGTAACAACAGTAGGGACCCCATCCAGCTCGCCTTCTCCTACAGCAGCTGTACCTTCATTTGACTCTCATGCCATCCTAGGATCTTATTCATTCTGGTGCCTCCCTATGATCCAGCTTGATTCTGTATGTTCAGATCACTGGAGACAAGCCTGGGGTAGGAGTAAACTCCTAAGTCTCCCCTGTAGGATTCCCTTGCAGAAGTCTCCAAAGATCAAGCAAAGGTTGGGAAACCTGTATTACTGCAGAAAAAGGGGGCTATGAGGTGGGAGGAACTGACCAGTGATGGCAACTTTAGGAAGGAAAAGTTAGACCAGGCTAGCACTAAAACCAGTCTAGAAAGTTCAGATTTGAGTGATGAAACGAGAGCAGGTCCCCTAGCAGAGATCTATGATCTTAGCTGCTTAGGAAGATGAGGCAAGAGGATTCCAAGTCCATGGTCATCCTGAGCAAGGCACCTTTTTGAGTCATTGTCAAAAAGTAAAGAGGGCTGGGGATATAGCTCAGTGGTAGAGCACTTGCCTAGCATGTATCAGGTCCTAGATTCAACACCCAGTACCCTGAAAATAACATAATCACAAGACAACCTCCAGGCAAGGGGTGACCAAATACACATGACGTTTAAAAAAAGAAGAACTTGGCACTGATAATACTTGGAAAGAGGGAAAAGAAGAGGAGACCAGTGCAGGTGTTTTGGGGAGTGGGGCTTGCAAATGTATCCCTGGTGTGAGCAATTCCAACTTGAAGGGAAGGTTTTCTTAGACCCACACTACGCATGATAACAGTCATGGGCTCACCACAAATGGGTGTTGAAATGAATTCAATGCAGTTGAGTGATGTAGATGACATATGCACAACCAAGTTCTTGGGCTCGGTGGGAAAGAACTTTCCACAGGCCTGCTTCCAATTCTTTCATGTGGCAAAGTTACTATTAATGATTATAACTCATAGAACAATTTGGAGGGAAATCACAACTTTCAGCCACCTGCTATAAACAGGAGAGTCCATACAGCCTAGAAGAATGTCAGTACCTTTGTACACTTCTGAAACAGCTCTGGATATCAGTCAAGTATGCATGATTCAGGAGCCCCTGAGCGTTGTAGTCTGCTCACAGATGTGTAAACATTTCTGCTTGAGTGTGCACAGGCTTTTTATATCTACCCTACAAATGGACTCTTGGCACCACCCAGCAGTGCATTCAGGAAGTCCAGGGACTTCAAATCCTTCCAACACACTCCTACTATGCTCTTAGAGGCAACCAGGCTTCATTTCCTTACCACCCAATGGCTGGCACTTAGCTCATTTGTGAGTACAAGGGAATTCAACTCAACTAGACTGAATGTTTATTTCATGCATCTACTTACAATGACCTGTTGACTAAATAGTAAGTTGGGAGTAGGTAATCTAACACACAGTCCTTAAGGAGACAATAGCTTGGTTCACAAGTAACTGAAAAGTAAGCAAAGGGTTAGGCAACTTGGCAAAGTAAGAATATTTGCATTATGGCGACACAGGGAAGGGAGCCAATCTGGGCAGCCACAGAAGTGTGAGGAAGAATTCATTCACTTTGGAATTGATGTAGGACACAGGTCACACTGTGAAAGTTTGGCTGGGCCAGGAATGATTGGGCCTAGCAAGGAAGACTGACTGGGGCCTCTGGATGGAAAATCTAGGAGCAGCTCACTCTTGTAACAGCTAGCCTCCTGACAACCCCCACAGTCCCCATTTGGCTTTTGGGCCATCCTGGGATCTCATTCATTCAGTTACCTCTCTAAGATTCAGCCTGATTCTGTGTGCTTAGATAATGGAGACAAGCCCAGGGTAGGAGTAAACACCTAACTCAACTCTCTCCTGCAAGATTTGACTTGGTGCTGAAGGCACCCAGAGAACTTAAATTCACATACCCTAAAAGGCTTCTATTTAGCTACCTCAGGTTCAAGGGTTGGGATGCAAGAGCTGGGCTTCAAAACCACCTGGGGAGTGCTATTTTCCACCCTAACCCTTACTCCCAACACCCGCCCCCCCCCCAGCTGTGATCCTGGAAAAGGGAGCAGAGTCACTTGTCAGGAGAGGTGGCCTCATCCCAAGCTGTGCAGAACGAAGTTGTTAGAGCTTTATCAGCAGTACTGGTGAGAAGTAGGCTTCTCTGTGAACATGTTTCTCCCAGGAGGCCTAGCAAGCAGCTCTTCTGCCAGTGATAAACAGTGAAAACTGATGCCCAGGAATACCTAGCTCCTAGCAATCAAAGCAAACCCTCTTCTAGTGTGTCTTGGAGCCTATACCACTTCAACTTGCTGTGCAGCCTGAGCAGACCCTGATTCTTGAATTAGTTACTCCCATCCCCACAGAACGATGGGTAGAGATGTCTACATAGAACAGTGCTTTTCCATATGGGCCTCCAAGATCACTGACCAGAAAACCAAGGAGGCTAGTAACCCTGAATTTCCTAAGTATCACTTGACAGAGGTGTCTTAAATTCATTCCCATAACTCTCTTGTGAAGCAGAGGATCTCCTGTTTGTAGCAGTCAGTAAGTTCTCTGCTGTCACACAGTCAGCAGGTGCCAGTGCTGCCACCCAGACTAAACAGCAACAGGACTTCAAAACTAACAGCCTTTCTGTTGGCCTACTTGGCATTGCCTCACAACCACAGAAGTGAGCTTGTGGAGGTCAAGGACGTGATCCCCTTTATCTTCAGGAGAACTAAAAACACACAGTCTATTGTGTTATCAAATATAGTCCTACCATATCTGCTTAAAGGAAATTTACTATACACCAGCTGTCCCTTCTCTTTCCTCCCCTGTGTCCCTTTCATTAAGGTGAGGGCCAGTCTCTCTGAAAGAGAATAGCAAGGTTGTTTAGAGAAGAGCCAGCCCCAACCTGATAGCTACACTACTCACTTGCCCACTGGGGGCCTTATCTGATCCTCTTTTCCCAGAAGGTGAAGCTGGATAAGACTACAAACAACAACAACTGTAATGGCTCAGAGTGGCAGCTCTGGTCTCGGGGAGAGCTGGGGGTAGCTGGAGGGGACCCAGCTGGATTCCCTAAACCAAAATGCTGCCATCCTTCCCTAGGCCTGTCTTCTCAACTCCAAAAAGAGGGGGTGCCAAGACCCCTAAGGCTCCAGAGACATTCTCTGACTCCAAGACAAACATCCCACTTTGGAGCCCTGCCATCTTGTTCTTCACCAACCCCACCATGGCCCACCTGCCCATTCATGCTCCATCCAGCTGGGAGCCCATCTCTTCCTTATACCAGGTGCCTCCCCTGCCCTCATCCTCAAGCAGGTCAAACCTGGGAACAGCACTCACCATCTGCAGCATCCACACCTCTGCTTCTGCTCACAAAAGATTCTGACCCACATGGTGTGCAGGCAGGGTGAGCAGGCACAGGGGAGGGTTGGAGGTGGGGCTCTGGAGTCTTGCCTAGGCCCCTAAGCTCAGCCACTCCACAGGCAGGACCAGGCTACATAGAAACCCTGGGGCTTCCTCAACTGCCAATGCTTAATCTTCAGAAAATATCAAAGTGGCAAGCTGCCAAGGCCCCTCTAGCCCTTCAAAGAGTTGAGCAAAGTTTTGAGTCATTTGCAGTCATGCAGACTGTAACATTTCTCAAGCCAGCAGTCTCCCCTCCACCATGGGTGCACACTAAGCAGGGGCCCTTAACACAGTCCACATGCCACCTCACGGGATCAAAGGGGCAAGTCCCTTTCAAAGTGGTTCCTTGTACAACTTGCTCTCTTACTCATTTCTCATTCCACACCCAGGAAGTCATCTGGACCACCAAGGATTTTTCCTGCTATACAGTCATCACCTCCCTTTCTTCTGCCACTGAAGTGGCTTCTCTCAACCCCCCACCCCACCCTTCCCAGGTGACCTTGCCTACTTCCAACACTCCATACTGCCTTCTAAGTCCCCATTCCTGGTTCTCACTTAAGGTTTCCAGGTGGGGGCATTGTATGTATCTGTTGCGCTGTGTCAAAACCGACCTC